TCTGTGTCAAGAGCATTGCTATCCTCCCATATGAAATTGCTGGGAGAGTGAAACAAATAAAACAGTGGGAGGTTAACATTTATAGTTTTACAGAATACACACCTTCATATACATAGCCATTATGTAAATACAACCAGACAGAACTTCACTTTTCAAAGTAATAACACCGGAACTTCAGAGACACTGAGGTTCCAGAAAGTTGTACCCCCCTTGCCCCGTGTTCATGCCGTCGAAGCAAATGTGGAGTGAGAAGTGACTGATCCGTGTCAATGAGCATTGCTATCCTCCCATATAAAATTGCTGGGAGAGTGAAACAAATAAAACAGTGGGAGGTTTACATTTGTAGTTTTACAGAATACACACCTTCAAATACATAGCCATTGTGTAAATACAACCAGACAGAACTTCACTTTTCAAAATAATACCGGAACTTCAGAGACACTGAGGTTCCAGAAAGTTGTCTTTGACTGCTTTGGAGAGGAGAGAAACCTTTTTCTTACTACGTTCTGGCTTTAGCCTCATTCTCACACACCTTTTGGGTTGACCCTTTTGAGTGAGGTTAATGAGCAAGTCAAAAACACTGAACAACCCTGTTAGGATATCATTTTAACTAATTAAACAAGACATTTAAACAGTGCACATAAAATGCAGTTTTTCTATTACTTACATGTTAAGGTGAGCCACTTGCCTATAGAAAAGAGCCCGTAAGCTAATTATGGCTACCTATGAAAATAAGCAGAGTCCTATGATTTAAGCAGTAATCTGAGATGAGGAATAATTCACCTTTGTGAAGGAATAGAAGTAGAATAAAATAGCAATTGTAACTCATTATGTCCCAAACTTCAATGGAAGTGAAAGAAAAATGGTACTTATAGTATTTAAGATAGTTAACTGTAGAATGTGGACAATTTATTAATCCATTACTCATTTAACAGTTCACTGTTGAGCAACTTATGTATCGGTTATTTAAAAAATTTGTGAAGTATTTGGCATTAAATATTCAAAAGATGTGGCCCTGCCTTTAATAAGCTTAATTATGCAATCATTAATATTTTCAAAACAAAGTCAATTGTTTTTAAGAAGATATACAATATCACATGTGCTTGACATCACTTATCTGCTTATATATGGTATTCTCTTTTCTTTCAAATCAAATGTACAGTCCAAATAAACTACTAAAACATAGTAAAGTCAATGTCTAAGTATAAAATATGTTTATGTGTAAGCCTCTATGTGTGCACATAGGATATGTATCACTGTCTATCAGAAAATCAGTAAGATGATAGCAAGTTTTGCTATGTTGGACTTGAACACTATTGCTTGGGATTTAGATTAATTTATAACCTTTTGATATTTGGGTCAATCACAGCATAGCAAAGGTGTTTAATCTGGAAAAATAATGTCTGTACATTTCCATTTAAGTGTTATCTAAATTCGAATTTAAGGGGAAACATCTTTACAGAGATATTGTTGGATTTATCTCCCAAGTATATATGACAAAATTTTTGAAGTGTTCATTTGTTCCCAAATGTGACTGGGTTTGCCTACCCTAAAAGCATTTACATTTACACGTGTATACAGCCACATACAGTATACATACTGTATATAATATATAGGGAAATGTTTAGTATGCACTTCTTTGATTTGGAACTCCTTAACATTTGTAGTGTAGCAGTTCGTGTAAAGTGCACTGTGATTATACAAATCAAAGCACAGTAAAGTCACAGGTCTTGTTATCTTGCACTAAAAATGTGTTTACGTATTTAGCAAGTGTATGTTTACTTTCTTGCTCTTTTCAAGAAATTGAAACAAATAGCTATTAAGAAAATTATATAAAATAATATGTTTTTTAGTGGATAATGGCACTACATTTTTAAAAGACAGGGTTTTTAAAGGAAACCATTTACCATCCATTCCAAAATGACATGTTTACCATATCTAAAAATCTGAATGTCATATTGCATTTTTCATAAACTTGTCAGGTATGTGCCTGAAAAAAAATGTGCAAATAAGCATTAGATAACAGATTTCTCTACTCGTGTGTTGTTAGCCATTTCTATATACATAATAATATAAACATTGATGTTTTAATTTCTCTTAAGTTTTGTACTTGGTTTTTTAGGTAACATGTAATTATAAATGTACTTTGATACTACTGAAGTAACCAGATGTTGTTTAAAAACAAATTGTTTTCTTTAGTGCATTGACAATATTTTAAATACTTTTGTGCTTATTTATTTGTGCTCCCGTGTAATTATAATAAAAGCAATAGTTTAAATTAATTGACTTTGTTGTGGCTGGTATTTATTCATCAAGAAACAAAATTATGTCCTAGCCAGTTTAGCTCAGTGGATAGAGTGTTGGCCTGTAAACCCAACGGTCCTGGGTTCAATTCTGGTCAAAGGCACCACACCCAGGTTGCAGTTGCAGGCTCCTCCCAGGCCTGGGCCCTGGTTGGGGCCGTGCAGGAGACAATCAATCGATGTGTTTCTCTCACATTGATGTTTCCTTCTGTCTTTCCCTCTCTCTTCCCCTCTCTCTAAAAATCAATAGAAAAATATCCTCTGGTGAGGATTAGAAAAAAAGAAAAAGAAACAAGATTAGTAAGAACTCTTTCAAAGAAAACTGCACACATTTTTCAACTTCTGCAGCTGCTCATAAGAGTGTGTGCATTGTGGATGATGGCGTGGGTGAGTACTGAGAGCCTGGTCTTCAATTTAGTTATGTGACCCCCAATTGTCCTCAATCACCACTTGGCTTCTGTGTGAAATAGGTGAACTACTAAATAAGAGGAATCTGGACATTTCTCGTGCTTCAGTATGCACCTAATTCCAATTAAATGACTCAGCATGTATCTAGAGTGTGCTGGAGGCATTAAAGAAAAATTTCCATCAGTCCTAGACCTGTGCATGCAGACATAATATTTATTGGAAGGGTACTTAGCATGCTGATTTACGCAGTTATACTCCTATACTTCAAATAGTAAGTTAGTATGTTAAATTGTTTACTATTATTATTGCTAGAAATCAGTAAAAAACCTCTCAGTAATATATGAACTATTCCATCATCCTGCCCTTCCCTCATCTCTTCAAACAAAAGAAAATACACATCAATCAATATATAGCTAAGAGATTGGAGTCACGTTATCAACCGTCTCAGAGATGTGTGATTTAGATTTTTAGAAAACACATGGGTCCATAGGCTGTTTGGGGTATATTATATTTTAATAAAATTAAACTTCGTGAAAATTTAGGCACATATGTCTACATGGAAATGAGTAGGTAGATAATAGAAAGTTAAATATAACTGTGAAAATAATCAATGTATACCCTCTCAGCTCTAAATCTTCTCCCTCAACCCACCCCCCTCCCCCATGGCCTGTTGTGTTAAAATGGATCTGGACCATTTTTATAGTTTTCCTTTGCAACTTGTTTTTTAAGATTTGTCAGCAGAGGTGATGGAAAGAGTCTGCCTGAAGAAGAGAGACTGCCTGAAGAAGGGACTGTCTCTCTCATCCTCCAGCAGGATGTGTGTGGATGATCCAAGCAACTCCCACTCCATGAGTTTCAGTGGCATCCCAAGGGATGTCTCCAGTTTTCCCATGGACCAGCTCTCACCCAAGGCAACTCAGCAAACCACTCTGCCTTCCAGGGGACCACAACCTTACCCTTTCTAATGAGGACTGAATTCCAGCATTGAGGAATTGTACCTTCCATCATTGTTCATTCCTTGGGCAATCTCCCTCAGCACCAGGGTAATTTTTAGGATTCTCTCTAATACTGTACAGATTTTTTTCTTGTTATAGGGAATAATTCTTTACATCAAACACTCCCTGTTTAAATTATTGTGTGGTTTCTATCTGCTGATTGGATCTTAACTAATACAACAATTTTTATTCTTTTTTACTATTATTACTGTTTTTCATTTTTAGGAACACTTTCCTGAACTATTGTCTAGTGCCCCAATAAGATAAATATATGCTTCAAAAAGGTTATAGCAGCATTTTAATATTGATGACAGCAAAGTGTTGAAATTGGTGATGGCCTTTATGAGCCAAAATTAATATTGGTCAAGTTTGGTCCCAGTCACTTGTTATAAATAGCTTAATAAAATACCTATATATTTTATTCAGATATTCTTAATCTCTTGCTATTAAAAGAAGACTTTTTTTGAAATTTAGCAACTTGTCTGATTTTATTCCTCCCAGTTTTATTATATTTTATTAATATTAATTTAAAATTAAATTTAACATGTTTGGTGATTTAAAGCGTTGAACATAGGTAGAGTAGATATTGATGTGGAAGAATGGCTTTCAAATATTCAGTCCCTAGCACTCATCCTAACCTGTCCTAACAAGCATAACTACTGAATAAATAGTTGTGCATTTTTGTTTTTATACTGAAAAATTATTTTTTCACTTTATGTTTACTAACATAATTATGTATGCAAAATTCAATTGGAGAATCTTTATACTATCTGCATTACTTTTCTGGCTATTATTTTTATTATTTTTATTTCATAAGTATTACTGAAAACATTTTTTTCTACATAGGGTGGGTATTGAAAACTGAAAAAGATAAACTGACAAACAAATAAGTGATCTACTAAATAAGAGTAACCTGGAAGTATGCAACAGACTGACATATTTCAGAGGGAAGGGGGGAGTGGGTTGAGAAGTGATTAACCAAAGAACTTATCTATATATATAAAAGCCTAAGCGATTGGTTGACCGGTAGCTATGACTTGCAATGACCACCAGGGGGCAAACACTCAACGCAGGAGCTGCTGAGCTGCGGTGGCTTGGCAGCTGTGGTCCTCAGGTGATCCACCCAGAACCAGAGAGGAGGGAGCCCGATTCCAGGGTGCATCACCCGAGAGCCACCCTCTCACAATCTGGGACCCCTTGGGGGATGTCGGAGATCTGGTTTCAGCCAGATCCCCACAGGCCAAGCAGAGGGAACCCACCGATGCACGAATCCTTGCACTGGGCCTCTAGTATGCATATATACATAACTCATGGACAGACAATAGTGCAGTAAAGGCCTAGAGAAGGGGCAGGAGGGGATAGAGGGGGTCAATGTGGGGGAACAAGAGGGACATCTGTATACTTTAAAAAATAAAGATAAATTGTAAAAAACCTATTTCACTCCAGATTAAAAAAAACATATATTAGGTACTGATTATAACATACACACTCAAACACACACACTAACTCATTTATCATTCTGCAATTTCCTCTCCCCTTTATACTTATTCCCAACAGAGGAGCTCCACATCACACAGCCCTCCACTCCTGGGACCTTTCCTGGGACTTTCTCCCGAATATTCTCCCCTTATCTCCAGGGCCAGGCAGTGGAGATTGGGATCACAGAAGGAGAAGTAAGCTGATGTGCTTCTTACTTGTTACAGATACTGAAAAATTTTACCATTTCTTTAGTTCAATCCTTTGCTTTCACCAGGAACATAATATACACAGCCTTAGAAGGATATGCTTGCTAAAACAGAGCCCTTTGACATTGTCTCATCTGCCTCTAATTCAGGTTTGCTTCCATCTCAATATAATAACCAATGTAGCAAGTCAGTAAAATTTGGGGCTAAATTAATTTCCCTAAGTCTTTGCCTTCTATCATCTTTAGGGACTCAAGCTAGCCTGTCAGACCAGTTGCTGTGCATGGGCAGGACTCAGGGAGCTATCCTACCTTTTGGGGTCATCCACAAAGTTCTACCACACACATATATTGTCCATTTAAGCCACACAATCTTGGAGGAGTTTAGTTTTCAATTTTAATTTTTTAATGTTTATTTTATAAACAAGAAAACACATTTTTCAGAGTGGTAGAATAATCTGCCCAGGACCACTTATGTATTTAGTGACAGAGCAAGGAATTTAAATCTGGCTTTAAAACCAACTCACTTTCTACCACCTTGTTTTACCCGTAGTGAATATTAATTTAAGTAAATGCCAAATGGCACTGGGCATTACTTTAAAATCATGAGAATGTAAATATTCACAGGGTAAACACTTGTGAATGGGAACTGTATTAGTCGGGGTTCTCCAGAGAAAGAGAACCAATAAGTTTTTATATTAGAGAGAGAGAGAAAAAGGAGAGAGAGAGAAAGAGAGAGAGAGAGAGAAATTATCTCATGAAATTATGGAGGCTGACAAGTCCCAAGATCTGCAGAGTGAATAGTCCATCTTGAGACTCAGGAGAGCTGATGGTTCAAAGAATGGATAATAGATAGAGCTGATGGTGTTACAGTTGGAAGGCTGGTAGGCTTGAGACCCAGGAAGAGTCAATGTTTTAATTAGAGTCTGAAAGCAGGCAAAAATCTGATGTCCCAGTGCGAAGGCTGTCAGGCAAAAGAAATTCTCTATTTCTTATAAGAGGGTCAGCCTTTTTGTTTCATTCAGGCCTTCACCTGATTGAATGCAGCCCACCTACATTAGAAGGGCAATCTGTTACTCTCTCTACTGATTCAAACGCTATTCTCATCCAAAAACACCCTCAAAGAAATACCCAGAACAATATTTGATCAAATATCTGTGCACCCATGGACCCATGAATTTAACACATAAGATTAGCCATCATAGAAACCTTACAGTACAAGAAACTTGCAACTGAAACTGCCAGTTTTTCTAGATGTTAACTCTCCAAAAATTAGATTGTGTAACTGTGTTATAAGCCACCATTCTTATCTTCTCAAAATGTATTATATGTGTATTTTTCAGGAGCTATATTTTATGTTATGACAACTCTCTTTACACTGAATTTTATTTATCTTGCAGTGATTAACCCCATTCTTAAATAAATTGTGAAAATCTTCAAGAATCTTTTTCTGAAATTTCTCCGGGTGGCATTAAGCACTAAGGATGTTAATTGATTCCTTAAGTTTTTATTAAAATCAGGTTATTTTTACCCATAGGCTATCAAGTTATCAAAGGTAAATTTATCAAAAACCAATCAATCGTCTTACTTTTTAAACTCCATTTTCATTTTTAGAAAATAAATGGTCTTTATTGATTTTTCTTTGTTAACTTCTATATTATAAGGAATTATAAAAATTGTTCATTGCCTGGTTAACTCTTCATCCTGTATTACATATGAACTGGGAAAACCTCTCAAAATACAATTTTAAGTAAATTGGATGTGGTATATTACATCTGGGAAACACTTTTGTTCAATGACCACTGCTCATGGAGACTGTCAGAAATTTTTATGGTTGCACTTAGTTAAAAATCATCAAGGTAATAATTTACAGTACTCAATATTTTCAAATGGAA